TCCCAGGACCCCGGCCCCGGCCCGACCCCAGCCCCAGCCCCAGCCCCACCGGCTCTTTCCCCTGCCGAGGGCCAGGCAGGAGCGGGGCGGCCAGGCGGCTGGGCAGGTCTGCGGGGCAGGGCGGGGATGTCTCTGCTCGGGCGGCGGCAGGAAGTGACAGCTCCCCGTCCGGGACAGGACAGCGGGAGGCGGTGGAGGTGGAGGAGTCGGGGTTTCCGGCCCGTCCTTGCCGGTTCCCCTTTTCCTCTGCGCTTCCTCCTTGTGCGGCTCCCTGGCCCCGGGCCAGCGGCGGCCTGACAGAGGAGGGCCCGGCTCTCGGCTCCTGGGGCGGCCGGTGGCGTGGGCAGCCCGTTGGGAGGTGCCCACCACGGTGCCGTGTGGTGGCCGGACGGACCTGTTGCTGACGTCCCTCCTGTTTCCTGGGCTCGAGCGGCCGTGTCTCCTCCGGCCTCACGTCGGTGTGGACAGAAGGTCAGCGCTGCTGACGTCTGCCTGGGTCTCGGGGCCCGGCCAGGAGCACAGCTGACCACCGGCAGGTCCAGCCCGGCACCCCTGTCCACAGCTCCAGGAGGCGTGGTACTCGGAGATGGCCGTCCTCCGCCTGCAGGGTCTCTGGGCCCGGCCTGCCTCGGACCCATCGCTGCCGCCCCCAGGTTCATCCTGCTTTCGCTCTTGGCCTCCAGCTGCCAGCCCTGCAGTGACCTCTGCCTGGAGTAGCCATCCTCAGCCCGAGCTCATATGTTACCTCTTAGAGCAGCCCTTCCTCGCTGTCCCTCACTGTGACTGACCGCCCCCTCCCTGTCACTCACTGTGACTGACAGCCCCCTTCCCCGTCACTGTGACTGACAGCCCCCACCCTGTCACTCACTGTGACTGACAGCCCCCTTCCCCATCCCTCACTGTGACTGACAGCCCCTTCCCCGTCACTCACTGTGACTGACAGCCCCCACCCCTTCCCTCACTGTGACTGACAGCCCCCTTCCCCATCCCTCACTGTGACTGACAGCCCCACCCTGTCACTCACTGTGACTGACAGCCCCCACCCCTTCCCTCACTGTGACTGACAGCCCCTTCCTCGCTGTCCCTCACTGTGACTGACCGCCCCCTCCCTGTCACTCACTGTGACTGACCGCCCCCTCCCCGTCCCTCACTGTGACTGACAGCCCCCTTCCCCGTCCCTCACTGTGACTGACAGCCCCCTTCCCCGTCCCTCACTGTGACTGACAGCCCCTTCCCCGTCACTGTGACTGACAGCCCCACCCCGTCCCTCACTGTGACTGACAGCCCCCTTCCCCGTCACTGTGACTGACAGCCCCCTTCCCCATCACTCATTGTGACTGACTGCCTCCTTCCCTGTCCCTCACTGTGACTGACAGCCCCCACCCTGTCACTCACTGTGACTGACAGCCCCTTCCCCGTCCCTCACTGTGACTGACAGCCCCCACCCTGTCACTCACTGTGACTGACAGCCCCCACCCTGTCCCTCATTGTGACTGACAGCCCCCACCCTGTCACTCACTGTGACTGACAGCCCCCACCCTGTCACTCACTGTGACTGACAGCCCCTTCCCCGTCCCTCACTGTGACTGACAGCCCCTTCCCCGTCACTCACTGTGACTGACAGCCCCTTCCCCGTCACTGTGACTGACAGCCCCCACCCTGTCACTCACTGTGACTGACAGCCCCTTCCCCGTCCCTCACTGTGACTGACAGCCCCTTCCCCGTCACTGTGACTGACAGCCCCCACCCTGTCACTCACTGTGACTGACAGCCCCTTCCCCATCCCTCACTGTGACTGACAGCCCCCACCCTGTCACTCACTGTGACTGACAGCCCCTTCCCCGTCCCTCACTGTGACTGACAGCCCCTTCCCTGTCCCTCACTGTGACTGACAGCCCCTTCCCCGTCACTCACTGTGACTGACAGCCCCCACCCTGTCCCTCATTGTGACTGACAGCCCCCACCCTGTCACTCACTGTGACTGACAGCCCCCACCCTGTCACTCACTGTGACTGACAGCCCCCACCCCGTCCCTCACTGTGACTGACAGCCCCCTTCCCCGTCACTGTGACTGACAGCCCCCTCCCCGTCACTCACTGTGACTGACAGCCCCCTCCCCGTCACTCACTGTGACTGACAGCCCCCTTCCCCGTCACTGTGACTGACAGCCCCCACCCTGTCACTCACTGCGACAGCTCCCAGCAGCGGGCATGGTCTGTGCGTAGGTTTTCTGGTTTATCTTTCCCCCATGTCTGCTTGTCCCTGGAGCCTAGCATGGAGCCAGGCACATAGTGGGTGCTTCCCTGCTGGCGTGGGCATGAGGGACAGAGCCCACGGGCCTCGCGGGCAGGGCATGGAGTATCTTGTTCCGAGTGCCCAGGTGCCACCGGGGCTGCCTGGGGGGAGTGGCATCGACTGGTTCCGTCTCTGAACCCTCCAGGTCGGCGGCTCCCGCGGGTGAGGCCTGGCTCCTGCGTCCGGTCCCTCCGTGGCCCGGTTTCTCCCGCTGGGTGGCGCTGGCAGTGCTGGGCGGCCCGCCCGGGGCGGAGCGGCTGCCCTCCGGGGCTCGAGGCTGCTGAGCCGAAATGAAATGGCTCTTGCGTCCGGCATGGTGCGATGGCGGCTGCCCGGGGAGCACCGAGGCCCGCCGCCCGCAGCCCTTCCTCCCGGCCACGGCGCCCCGCCTGCAGAGCCCTGCGCCCGGCCCGGGCCTCGCCCCCGCGCGGGGCCCGCTGTGTGTTCGGGGCGAAGGGCACAGCTGCGAGTGAGTGCAGCGGAGGAGGCGCCCGGGCCGGGCTGTCCCCAGCCGGCCGCCGGGGGGAGCGGGCGCTTCTTGGACACGCTGGCCCTCACACGGGTGGCTCGAGTGGGCGGGGCCGCCTGTCCCTGGATGACCGGGAAGCCCAGTGTCCAGTGCCTGCCTCGCCCAGACGCCTGCCCTCGGACCCGCCCCTGCACAGATCCCCGGCCCTCAGTGCTGAGTGCTGGGCGGCCCTGCCCACCCCTCCCCCCGGGCCAGACCCAGGCCACCATCCACGCCGCAGACCCAGGCCACCGCCCCAGGCCACTCCCACGGCCACCGCCCAGGCCACCACCCCAGGGACCCTGCAGGCCCATTTTGGGGTGGCCTGAGGGCCTCCCACCCCTGGTGCTGTGGCAGGAAGCGGGCAGCCCTGGCCATTCAGTGCCGCCGGGAGCCGGCAGGGGCAGCGGGCCCAGGCCCAGGCCCAGGCCCCTGGACTCTCCGCCTGAGAGGCAGGCTGGACGGGGGAGTGCTGACTCCCTGCAGGCGGCCAGGACCCCTCTCGGGGATGTGGTGCCTCTGGACAGAGAAGGCCGTCTGCGAGGTCCCTCCAGGCTGTGCTCCTGCACCTTCTAAATATACCCGTGAGGCTTCCTTATCGGCTGCCCGCAGCCAGGCGTGGGGGCAACTGGGGACGGAGCGGCTGGGAGCATGGCTGCGGACCCCGAGGGCGGGCCTCCCCCTGAAGCCCACCCCAGCCTGTCCCCCCTCCCCACCAGGCCCCCCGCCCCCCGCAGCCTCCCGGGGGTGGTGAAGGCGAAGGGAGGCCCCTCCTGGCTGCCCCTGCTGCCTCTTCTCTGAGGCACAGGCCTAGGCTGGTGGTGGGGCCGGGCTGGAGTCTGGTCCTCGGCCTGGCAGGGCTCCGGGCGCCGCGTGCTCGGTCACCTGGGGCTGCGGGCGCGGGCGATGTCCGATAAGCCCGGTCCGGGCCAGGCTGCGGTCACAGCCGGGAGGCGGCTCGGCCCCTGGCACAGGCCGGGCATTGTTCCCGCCGGGTCCCCTCCCCCTGGCAGGGCCTCCTCCTGCCCCGCTCACGCGCCTCCTGGGCTCGGGGCGGGCAGCCTGGGGCCCCCCTCCCACGCTGCTCCCCACGCCGCTCCCCACGCCTCCCCCCACGGCCTGCTGGGAGAGGGCCGCGCCCTGCGCTCCGGGCCTCCGTGCCTGCTCTCGGGTCGGGCTGCGTGGTCTCAGAGCCGGGACTCCAGCTGGGACAGGGCCGGGCTCGCCTGCACCGGCAGGAGGGGGCGCCATGTCCTCGGGCTCCGAGCCCCAGGCCCACGCGTGGGGGTCCCGCCTGCCGCCAGCCCGGCGCCTTCCACGGCGGAGCCACGCGGGGCCTGGACCCTCCCTGCACTCACGGTCCCGCCCGCAGGCCTCCGGGTGCCCCAGGCCGAGGCTGCCCTGACCGAGGCCGCAGCCAGGTCGCCAGCCGGTGTCTCTGGGCAGGGAGACGGACGAGGGCGCAGACATGGGCGAGAGCAGCCTGTGCCTCCATCTGCAGACGCTCCCCTCGGCCGCCACAGCAGGAGGCCGCCGCCGAGGCCATGGCCCCCGAGCAGGGGGAGCAGAGCCAGGCCGGGCAGGAGTGGGTGTGCAGGCTGAGTGGGGTGGGCAGCAGCATGAGGTGTGCGCCTGACGGGTGACCTGGTGCGGGCGGCGTGCTGATGGGACTCCGTCAGCGGAGCCCTGGCCCCGAGGTGCCCGGGCCCCGAACCCTGATCCTGGGAATGGCAGAGGGCCTCGGGGGTGCAGGGAGGTGGAAATGCTTTGACTTGTGTCAGGGACACGAAGGCAGGCACCCCTGGGCCCGCGGTCCTGGGCAGCGCCCGGGGTCTGGGATGGGGGGCCGGTCCGGGAGCCGGGGGCCGGTCCCTCGGCCTCAGGGCGGCTTCAGGGCTGAAAGGTCAGGGCCTAGAAGGCAGCAGCGGTCTGTCTGTCCGTCCACCTGTCCTTGGGGAGGGCCATGGGGACCCTGCAGGGACCTGGGGTCCCGGCTCCTGCTCAGCCCTGTCTGGCTGAAGGCCTGTTTCTGGTGGGGTCAGCTCCCCTCACTGGGTGGCCGGGCAGCCCTCACCGCCTGGTCCACGGCCGGTGGGCACTGGGGGCTGGGGCGGGGCTTGGCGCCTGGGGGAACACCGGGGGGGCACGGGCGGGTGGCCCCGGGAGCCGCCGGGCTGACCGTGTCCGCTGTCTGCAGCTTCCTCATCGTGCTGGTCTGCCTCATCTTCAGCGTGCTGTCCACCATCGAGCAGTACGTCGCCCTGGCCACGGGGACCCTCTTCTGGATGGTACGTACCAGCAGCCGCCATGCTGCCCGGGGCCTCGTGTCCGCCGTGTGGGCGTGGGGGGGGCGCCGCATGGAGCCCCCGGATGGCCCCCTCTGCTGGCCACAGGCTGTGGTCTTGCCTCGATGTTGGGGGCGGAGGAGTGGGGGCCCAGCAGGATGGGAGCAGGCCTGAGGGTGGTCTGGGAGGGCCTCCCGGAGGGAAGGGAGGCGTGGCCACGGCCGGGCTGTGGTTGCAGGGACTCGCCGGCCTGCACATGGGTCCTTGGTCTGGGACACACAGACAGGCACTCCCGAGGGGACCCCGCTGTGTGGCGCCCAGGGGGCTGCCTGACCGTCCACACCGGGGCGTGTGCCCCGACCGGGAATCAAACCGCTGGCTTTCAGTGCCCGGCCGCCGTGCCACCCGGGAGCCAGGGCCGGGTCGCGGGGTGGCGTGTTCACGGCGACGCGTGTCCGGGGGCCGCGGCCGCTCTGGGCCTTGTTCCGGGCCCGGGTCCGAGCGCCCGCACCAGGGCCGCCCGCTGCGGACACGGCCGGGGCTGCTCCTTCTCCTGGTGGCTCCCTGCCCGGCTCCCGGGCCCTGCTGTGCCCCCCTGGCTCTTCCCGGGAGCACCCGTCCCGCCCGGGCACCCCGATGCCTCTGCTGGTGGGCGCGGGGCCTGTGCGGCTGGTGTGGGGCGCCCTCCGTGAGCCGTTTCACGCAGATGCTGAATCGCTTCTCGCTGGCCGCGGGGAGGTGGCTGTCGGTGGCCGACCCCACGGGGGTCCCTCGCTGTCCTGGGGCCGCCGCCCCGGGTCCCGGCAGCTGGTTACTGCCCTGCGCTCGGCTCTGTGGCTGCTCATGTATTAATATTATAGAAATAGGGACAGGCAGTGGCCAAGCTGGATGGCCACCAGGCCCGCAGGGACAGCGTGTTGGGGTCCCCCTGCTCCCTGCCCCCTGCCCCTGCCCCCTGCTCCCTGCCCCCTGCTCCCTGCCCCCTTCACCCTGCTCCCTGCCCCCTGCTCCCTGCCCCCCCTCACCTGCTCCCTGTCCCCTTCCCCCTGCTCCCTGTCCCCTGCCCCCTGCCCCCTGCTCCCTGCTCCCTGTCCCCTTCCCTCTTCCCCCTGCTCCCTTCCCCCTGTCCCCTCTCCCCTGTTCCCTTCCCCCTGTCCCCTCTCCCCTGCTCCCTGTCCCCTCTCCCCTGCTCCCTTCCCCCTGTCCCCTCTCCCCTGCTCCCTTCCCCCTGTCCCCTGCTCCCTGCCCCCTTCCCCCTGTCCCCTGCTCCCTGCCTCCTGCCCCCTTCCCCCTGCTCCCTGCCCCCTGCCCCCTGCCCCCTGTCCCCTGTTCTCTGCTCCCTGCTCCCTGTCCCCTCTCCCCTGCTCCCTGCCTGCTGCCAGCTTCCTTCCTGGCGCTGCCTCCTCTCTCCTCTCATTTCTGAGGTCTGCATGCCCCCTGGTGGCCTATCTCTGAACTGCGGGCACAGTGTCCTCTGCTGAGGATGGGCCGGGCCTGGGCCGGGGACCAGCGAGGGGGTATGCACCGAGCACAGAGCCCCTTTCCACTGTGGGTCCACCCCCCCCGGTCCCCTCTTCTGTCCTGGGGGCTCCCCCTGCGCCCTCCTGCCCCAGGCCCCTCTGCACACAGCAGGCCTGGCGTGTGCGTGTGCACGCGTGTGTACGGGCCGGAGGGGCACAGGTCTTCCTTTAAAAACCACGATTGTCTGGCGCGGTGCAGGGGCTGAGCGACGCCCTATGAACCAGGAGGTCAGGGCGGCTCCCGGCCAGGGCGCAGGCCTGGGTGCAGGCTCCATCCGGATGGGGCGTGCAGGAGGCAGCCGGTCCCTGACTCATCACCGAGGCCTCTCCCTCCCTCCTCTCTGGAGTCAGTACAACACGCGTGTTTGGAAAGGCCTGATCGCGCCAGCAGCTCCCGCATGTGAAGGACACGCCTGGCCTCTCGGGCCCCAGGGCGCTGCTCAGCCAGCACCTGCCTGCACCCAGCCCGCCTGCACCCACGCCCTCGAGTCCCACACTCTCCCTGACCCCGACACACACGCACACACATGCACACACATATACATGCATACACACACGCGCGCACATACACACATGCACATACACATACATGCACACACACATACACACACATACACACTCACACAGACACATACACACATATATACACACATGCATACATATACACAGAGGCACACACACACACACACACACACACACACACTCACACACACCTGCACCCGCGCGGGGCCCGCTGTTCCCCACCGGCAGGTCACACACTGGCTTCTGGCCCTTCCCAGGCAGCCTGGCCGTCCCTGCCTCTGTGAGCCCCCGAACAGGCCCCCCGAGGGTCCCTCCCTCCGTGGGTCCCTCCCTCCGTGGGCCCCTCCCTCCGTGGATCCCTCCCTCCGTGGGTCCCTCCCTCCGTGGGTCCCTTCCTCCGTGGGTCCCTCCCTCCGTGGGGTCCCTCCCTCCGTGGGACCCCCTCCCTCCGTGGGTCCCTCCCTCCGTGGGTCCCTCCCTCCGTGGGTCCCTCCCTCCGTGGGTCCCTTCCTCCGTGGGGTCCCTCCCTCCTTTGTGGGTCCCCTCCCTCCGTGGGTCCCTCTCTCCTCCGTGGGTCCCTCCCTCCTTCGTGGGTCCCGTCCTCCGTGGGTCCCTCCCTCCGTGGGTCCCACCGTGGGTCCCTCCTCCGTGGGGTCCCTCCCTCCGTGGGTCCCTCCCTCCTTCGTGGGTCCCTCTCTCCTCCGTGGGTCCCTCCCTCCTTCGTGGGTCCCGTCCTCCGTGGGTCCCTCCCTCCGTGGGTCCCACTGTGGGTCCCGTCCTCCGTGGGTCCCTCCCTCCGTGGGTCCCTCCTCTGTGGGTCCCCTCCCTCCGTGGGTCCCGTCCTCCGTGGGTCCCTCCCTCCGTGGGTCCCTCCTCTGTGGGTCCCCTCCCTCCGTGGGTCCCGTCCTCCGTGGGTCCCTCCCTCCGTGGGTCCCGTCCTCCGTGGGGCCTGCCCCCTCCCTCGCCGCTGCTCTCAGACCGGGTGCTGGGCTGGGCGCTCAGTGCCCCCTCCACACACCGGAGGCTGGGCCCAGGGTGCTCGCCCGGAGCCCAGCATGGCCTCCGGGGCCCACGCTCCCGAGTGACCCCAGGACAGGCGAGTGGCTGCGGGGTGCTGGCCTCGGCGCCCTCCTGTGAGGGGAGGTGGCAGGACGGCCTCGGCCTTGGCCTCGGCCTCGCTGGGTCCCGGGGGCGGCCGAGTCGGGGCCAGGGTGTGGGGTGCCGGGCGGCCGGGAGGGGGTGCACGGTGCAGAGACGGCGGCCGGGCCTGCGGGCGCCCGGAGCGGTCACCCGGGAAGGGTGTTGGTGGGACGGCCCCCGCCCGCCGTCTCAGGGCCCGGGCTCCTGGGGCAGCGGGGTCGGGGCCCTTCCCGGGGGCTCCGGTCTGGGGGCGCCGCCGAGGCAGGGCGCGGAGGGGCCGGGATCCTCAGAGCCCAGGCCCGGCCGCCAGGGGGCGCTGCGGTGGCGCGGGCGGCGGGGCTGGCGCGGGCCCAGGGAGCCAGACCGCGGCTGCGGGGAGGGCGGCCGGGCCGCGAGGGGCTCGGCTGGGCTCCGGCGGAAAAAACGGGGAAAAATGCGCTCGGCGCTGTGTTTTCCCAGAGCCCATATTTCTTCGCTCCGCGCCGGTGCCAGAAGCCTGTTATCTCAGCCGGGAGGCCGGCTGGGGATTAGCGTTCTGCTGAGCCAGGCAAATTCGCTGAGAAAGCGTTTTGTTGGAAGCGGCTCGCCGGGGTCTGCCCGGGGCCTGCTCCCGCCACGTTGCAGCTGGAGCTTTGTCCACGGTTCCCCGGGCTCAGCACGGCCCCAGGCCCCGGCACACCCGCGTGTGCACGTGTGCACGCCTGTGCCTGCTTGCCCACGGTGCTGGGGCACACGCGTGTGCACGCTCCGTGCCCGTGTTTCTGGGCGCACCCATGAAGGGGTCCCAGGCTGGGGCAGAAGCCCGCTCTCGGGGGGCCCTCCCCACAGGGAGGGGCCGGCTTTGTCTCGAAAACACTCTTCTCTGCGTTCCTCCCCAAACCCACCCAGAGCCCCCACAGCCGGCAAACAGGTAGCCGCCGGAGGCCAGGGATGAGGTCATCGCTGCGGCTTCCTGCCGCCGGCCCCTGCGTCCGCTCCTGCCAGCTGCACCCCCGCCCCCGGGGCCGGCGTCTCCCCGCACCCTCCCTGCCCGGAGGGCCCTGTCCCCGCACCCCGCCCGGCGCCCCTCTCTGTGGAGGGTGAGTCCGGGCTGAGGTCCCTCCTGCCCGGCTCTGCGCGAGTTTCCATTAAGAACCCCGAGGTCTCGCTCTCTCCTTCGCCTCCTGCCTGGGCCCCTCAGCCCTCAGCTCGGCTCGGTGAGCCCTGTTTCATAGCTGGCCTCTGGGGTGCCTGCCTGCTGCCCCGGACCTCGGGGTGCCCGGGAGGACCCCCACCCTCCTGGCCCCTCGGCCTCGGCCCCTTTGTCTCCGTCCCGGCCCCTGGGAGCCGCAGGCTGAGATGTTCCTGCAGCCCAGGCCTTCCCGGCAGCCGCGCGGCTCTGGGTCCTTCCCCCTCACTCCGCCGGCACCCCGGCTCCTCGCCGGCACCGACCCTCACCTGGGCCCGGAGGAGGGAGTCTGTGCGGGCACATGTGGGTCTGTGTGGGCACGTGTGGGCCTGTGTGGGCACGCGTGTGGGTCTGCGGGTACACGTGTGGGTCTGTGCGGGCACACACGTGGGTCTGTGTGGGCATGCGTGGGCGCTGGCCCCGGCCGGCTGGCCCTCTGCGTCCAGGCAGCCCCCCGCAGGCAGCCCAGGGCCGCCTCGGGGAGGAGCATGGAGCTGGAGGCCCCGCTGTCTGCCCCCCCGGTGCCCGGTGCCGCCCCGCAGGCCTGGGGTCACTCCTCCTCGGAGCCCCTGGTGCCCACCCCCAGGACCGGGGCGGGCAAGGGCCTCTGGACGGCAGCGGGGAGGCTGGGCCGGAGCCTGCCTGCCGGGGGG